TAAGGTGTATCTAATAAGTGTGTATATGTCGCCTAATAAAGACATTATGGTTAATCTTAATGAGTTAGAGTATATCCTGGGTAAGTTGCATGGCAATGATATTATTATAAGTATGGATGGTAATGCTAAAGCTACTCTATGGGGCAGTGAGACTAACGACGATAGAGGTGGTATGTTGGTCGAGACTATCTTTAAATGGGACTTGGTGTGTCATAATGATCCAGAGGCTGGTCCTACGATTATTTCGAGCAGAGGTTGCTCTTATATTGATCTGACCCTCTCTACTAATGGTGTGGTTATTGATAACTGGTGTATTTTGCATGATACCACTAGTGAGCATGGCTTAATTATGTATGATTACAACGTAGGTAAGGTGGTTGATCCTCCTAATAGTATATATACTTATAGTTTTAATAATGCTAATTGGTATAAGTATAGAGATAAGCTTAAGTATAACTTATCTATTAAGGATTATGAGGTTCTGGAGGATAAGTATGATGTTATAAGGTATTGCAACCATATACTCTGTAGTATAAGGGATGCTATGGTTAGTGCCATTCCTAAGGTTAATAGGAGGCACAAAGCTCCTAAGTGGTGGTGTAATGAGTTGGATAACATGAAGAAGCAGGTTAATAAAAGTAGAAGGGCTTATCAAAGGTGTTCTGATCCTGAGGGACGGAACAGGTTAAAGTTGGTGTATGTTGGCTTAAGGAAAGCCTACAAAGAAAGGCTTAAGGTTATTAGGGTTGAGAGTTGGCACAGGTATGTTAATGCTAAGACTAAGGGTGACCCCTGGGGTACCCCTTACAAGGTATTGACTAATAAGCTCAAGACTAATCAGGTATTGGTGAATATGAAGTGTGGTGGTAATGAGTTATTAAACTGGACCGAGGTTGTGGCTTATCTCTTGGATACCCTGTTTCCTAATGATAATGAGTATAATGATAATGAGTCGCATAGTTATAAAAGGATTATGGTGCATAATTATATTGGTAATGGTCATTGTGACGAGATCACTGATAATGATATAGACATTGCCACTAAAGCCTCAAGGGGTCGTAAAGCCCCTGGTATTGATGGTATTACTTATGAGGTTATTAAAGAAGGTTATGGTATATTAAAGCCACATTTTAAGAGGCTCTATAGGGCTTGTCTGGTTTATGGTGTTTTCCCTAACTGTTGGAAACAGGGTAAGGTTGTTATTATTTATAAAGGTGGTGGTAAGGATAAGTCTAATCCAAGGTCTTATAGGCCTATTTGTTTAATCCCCATTATGGGTAAAATCCTTGAGAGGATTATCAAGCAGAGGCTTGACAATATTAATAAGGTGTATACTAATAAATGGCAGTATGGTTTTAAGAAGGGTTGTTCCACGGAGGATGCTCTAATGCAACTCCAGGAGCAGGTGAATAAGTCTTGTAGCAAATATGTGCTTGGTATATTCTTAGACATTAAGGGTGCTTTTGATCACCTATGGTGGCCCTCTATTATGAATGAATTAAGGTACAGGCAGTGTCCTAATGATTTATATAGGTTACTCAAGGACTACTTGTCTAATAGAGAGGTGGTGTATGAGGAAGCCAACCTAAAGGTGAATAAAAAGGTTAACAGGGGTTGTCCCCAGGGGTCGGTTCTAGGACCTGTCCTCTGGAACATGGTGTTTGATGGTGTCCTAAGGTTATTAAATGCTCACGGCGTTAAGTATGTTGCTTACGCTGATGATTTGGTGTTACTGGTTTCTGGTAACTCGAGGAGTGAGCTGGAGTCCCTTGGTGAAAAGTGGGTGGTGTGTATTAATAATTGGCTTACTGATAATAAGCTTGAGCTGTCTGTTGATAAGACTGTGGCAATGCTTTTAAAGGGTAAATTAAGTAAGGATAGGCCTCCCAGGGTTCGGCTTGGTGATGGTATTATTAAGGTTGCCGACTCTGTTAAGTATTTAGGTGTGTATTATGGGCCTGGTATGAGCATTACGCCGCATGTCTCTTATATCACTGATAAGTGTATTAAGGTATTTGGTATGTTAAAGCGTAGTATTAAGAAAGAATGGGGCTCCAGTTTCACGACTCTGTGTATATTATATAAGGGTCTATTTTTAAATAATATAATGTATGGTGTTTTAGCATGGCATGACCTCCTAAAGGGTTATCATAAGGTTAAGTTGGAAAGAGCCCAAAGGAGTGTCTTATTGGTGTTAACGAAGGGTTATAATACTGTCTCTACGGCAGCCCTTCAGGTTATTGCTGGTGTGTTACCTATCGATCTTGAGATCGATAAAAGGTATTACAGTACCCGTATTAAAAAAGGGACTGTTTGTAGGTATAATGGTGTGGTGTTCGACGGCAATGATATTAATACTAAGGTTAATCTCAATGAGCTGGTTAATATGGTTAATGGCTTGTGGCAAGACAGGTGGAACAATGGTGATAAAGGGAGGATTACCTACAGGTACTTCCCTAATATTATTAATAGGTTAAAGGCTAATTGGATTGAGCCTAATTATTGGTCCACACAGGTGTTAAGTGGACATGGTGATTTTAAGGATAGGTTAAGGTCATTCCACCTTGTCAATGATGGTATGTGTGAGTGTGGTGCCGTCGACACCCTCCAGCATTTTATGTGTGATTGTGTGGTGTTTTATCATGACATTGAGGAGCTTAAGGGTATTATTAATGTTAGCTCCACCACTAGTTTTAATGACGTTTGTACTAAGTTAGTATCTAAGAAGGTTATATATAATAGTGCTATGAAGGTTCTTCGTACTATGCTAAGTAAGCGTATGGTTTTAAGGGTCAGTTTTTGACCCTGGTTTTTATCTATTCTGGTTTTATTGTAAGACTAATCTTAAGGGTGTTTATTACTAGTATTCTTGATTTTTTTTTTTGGATGTATTGTACACTGTATGTTGTACGGTCCCTGGTGTTTTATTTGTTTTGGTACTTCTAGTTATAAGGGTTTCTACTATACCTATGTTTTGGTAAGTGCTATGGTATAGTTGGTTTGTATTGGTTGTATCCAATACTTACTTGTGTGTTACTATACCTTTGTTTTGGTTTGTACTTTGGTATAGTTGGTAAGTATCGTTTTGTATTGGGCTTTGCTATACCATGTATGGTAAGTGCTTGGTATGGTCTTGGTAAGTATGCTTTGTTATAACTTTATTTTTTTTTTTTTTTACTTTTTTATTCCTTTCATGTATGTTTGGGTTATGGTGCATTCTCTGTTATTGTGTTTTAATGCATTCTTGCGTTATTGTGTTATAATGTTCTTGCGTCATTGTGTTATAATGCTTGGTTGTTGGCATGACCATACTATGCCAATTAAAAATGGTCTCAGACCTTATGTGTATGGTGCATAGGTCTAGTAGATAGTGGCTGTTGTGTGTTTAAGTCTAAGGGCCTACTGGTACGCTCACGCAGGTACAGTAGGGGTGGTGGAGGGACCTTTTGGGACGGGATGCCAAAGCTGCCAGGAATGCACTCTGCGCCGTCGGCAAATTTCCGGACATCAAGCACCTTTACAAACTTTCCCTCCTATTTCGAGACCCTTTGAGATGACTGCGATGGATATACAGGGCCCGTTTCCGACAACACATAGAGGCAATAAATACTTGCTAGTGTTTATAGACCACTTTTCACGGTGGGCGGAGGCAGTTCCTATTCCAAACGCGACAGCGGAAACAGTCGCCAAAGCTTTCGTGACCCAGATTATTTTACGGCACTCGGTACCAAAAAAATTACTCACGGATAGAGGAACAAATTTCACTTCGAAATTAATGCAGGAAATATGCAAGTTATTGCGCATAGATCGCCTTCTTACTACCGCGTATCACCCGGAATGTAACGGGATGGTGGAACGTTTAAANCTAGAGCGATCCGAATCGGACTCGCTGTCCACTATGGGGATTGAGACTTTTACAGTCTCTTTGGGCCTATCTTTTGTAGGTTCCTGTGGTGGATCAGTAGCGGGCGGCTTACGTTTCCGTAGCGTCCGCTTCTCCATTGGCTTGGTGCTCGACTTAACACCGCCTTCCACTTGCTCTCCCTCCTCCAACTTCCCGCTACGACACTGAACATTTAGCGCATCATCCGCACACAACACGCTTGCCAAATTTTCGCACAATTCAGCCATGTTCGTCATCATAATAGAAAATATAAAAAGAGGGGATTAGGGTAATCTCGACCTTTCACGGGTGCCCTGAATCCGTTCGAAAGTCAAGGTGTGCGTTTAAGAGCCAGCTCTGACTTCGGACTTACTGAGGGCTCATTTTGGCCCTCTTATTGCCGGGTCGTCACTGCTTGGCCCGCTGCCGGGACAGCTACCCATTTAAATGGCCTCCTACCCAAGGTCACCCCAGCCCGGCTGGTTGCTCGGCTTGGGCCGCCCCATCGTTCCTACTAGGAGACGCTCTTCCCGCTTCGAGTCCTCCGAGATTATGTACGGCCATCCAGCGCATCATCAGGCCTTTAAGCACCACTCCCCCCCAAGGACATAAGGAAGTTGGCCCTATGTCCGAAGAGTGGCTCTGCCGACTGCCCGTCAGGATAGATACCAGCTAGCGGAGTCCTACAATCCACTGTAGGCGCTACCCCCCTGGCCACCAGCGAGGCTTCGGCAACGGGAGTACAACTCCTCGCCCCACTGGCTTCGGCATGCAGGCCGTGGCCCCCAAGCCAGCACCGGGTGTGCGAAGCCCGGTCTTCCTCTTGGGAAGCTGGTTCTTCTTTCACCGGACAGAAGGAGCTTTACGTGGTTTGCGCTACCACGGGCAAGGCTAAGTCGACTGCATTCGACCGCCTTTATCGTGAGGACATCGGTCCCGTGCCACCGGGTGGATGCGGGAGTTCACATTGTGTGTCTCAGATTCCAGAGGGTGTGGATTGTCAGATCCATGGCCCCCAGTTTCTGTGCCGACGCGGGATTTGAATCCGGAAGTTTCGGCGTCCACTGCGTGCTCCTATGTGTAATAACAGGGACATAACCCACAGGCCCGAAGTACAATGTGCATCACGCTACAAGCCGACGACTTGACCGTCGCGAGTAGGGGGACTCGGGACTGTGTGCAAAAGCAAAAGTCCCTACCNCAGTATACCCTTTCGATGTAGTGACCGCGCCAAATAAACCACTCTACGATAGCGATGAAAATTACGCGAGCGAGTTACGACTAAGACTAGCCACCGCGTATCGGTTAGCTCAAGAGCATGCAGAGAAAGCCGCGGGTGATCGAAAACGGTATCACCAACGGAAAAATAAACCGTATCAGTTTACAGTGGGGGATAGAGTATTCGTGAAAGAGGCAGTAATTGCCCCCGGATTGAAGCGCAAATTAACACCGCGTTGGTCCGGCCCCTTTAGAATCATTGCAGCGACAGGTCCGGTAAATTTTGAGGTACAGCACGTCCATACTGGAAAGAAATTGCATGTGCATGCGAACCGGCTAAAACCGGCAGTGGTACGTTCGGAAACCTCGGAAGCGGCGCCGAGGGATGCAAATCCCCGCGCCGATGATCAAGATGAGTCGCCAACAGGTAGTCGACCGCAATCAGCGGAGCCTGTAGATCCATGGGACGAGGTAATTCTCACCTCGATTACCCAAGATCAGATGGAGGGAGCGACTCCCGAAGAGTCCGACCCTCAGGCGAGTGTTGCTCGAGCGTTGCATGGGTACGCGTTGAGAAGTCACGGCCCGGTGCCAGAACAGCCTTGGGTGTTGCCGACAACTAGTCGGGCTAGACGGGGTGGCGCCGCGGGTGACGTAGAAACGGTAACCGATACGGGTATAAACGTGAGCGCGGAAGGGGTGGTCAACGCGTCGGAAATGGCTGAACAGAGCCAGATAAATGCTCAATTACCACCAGTTCCTCTCGGTCTATTCACTCGATGTGAATGATGGTCTCTTCCCTCGAGAAGAGGTCGTCAAAGAGACCGTGACATTTTTGTACATAAATAACTTTTCCTTTAGTGTGTAAGAAGAAATTGTCGCGTGTTATTCCCCCAATGTAGTCAGCATGTGAACCGAACGGAATAGGTCACATGTCGGGGTGAGTCTTCTGTATAATTTAACGATCAAAGGATGTAAGGATTGAGCATCGCCTAGACCCAATAAAAACCTGGAAAGGTGAAACTAGACGCTCGCGAATCGGGCAGGTCACCTTTAGTAGAAACTCGGGGTCGAAAAATGCCGCGAGTACGGAAACCGCGTCGGAAATATCGACAGATTTCAATTTTTCTTCATTTGTTTTTTTTTAAGGAACGAAAGCATGGCCCAGGGAGCCAGATGGCGGCGTAGGCCCAGGAGGAGTGGCGGTCGGGATTGACTGGAGAGAGAAGTTAGCTGACATGGCTGGGCACTTAGAATGCCCAGTGTGCTCGGAAAGGGCGACCCCCCCGATATCTCTCTGTTTCAATGGCCACATTATCTGTCCGAGGTGCCGGGACCGGGTCCAGAGGTGCCCCACCTGTCGGGGTGAAATCAGCCCGGGTCGGTGCCTGCCACTCGAATGGATTGCTGAGAGTCTTCTCTCTCACAAGGGAACTGTCGGAGTGGCATCTAATAAATTTTAATAAAATTTAGTTAATAGTTATGTTAAAAGTATACAAACTCTATATTAAATTTGTAGTATTCACTAAAAGAGTTAATCAGAGTTATTAGCAATCAAATGTCGTACTATTTTATATGCGGATTTTTAAAAGTGAAAGGGTCGCGGAGGAAGACGGCGATATTACATTTAGAATAAATTCTGGAATTTTCGAAAATGGGAGAAGAATTAATAACATTTAGTTAATAATTATGTTAAAAGCATGCAATCTCTATATTAAATCTGTAGTACTTACTAAAAGTATTAATCAGGATTAATAACTATTAAATGTCGTACTATTTTATAGTAGTTTAATACGAATATGCAGATTTTTAGTAGTGAAAGGGTCGCGGAGGAAGGCGGCGATATTACATTTAAGAATAAATTTTGGAATTTTCAAAAATGGTTGAAGAATTAATAAAATTTTGTATACTTTTAACATAATTATTAACTAAATGTTATTAATTCTTCTCCCATTTTCGAAAATTCCAGAATTTATTCTAAATGTAATATCGCCGTCTTCCTCCGCGACCCTTTCACTTTTAAAAATCCGCATATAAAATAGTACGACATTTGATTGCTAATAACTCTGATTAACTCTTTTAGTGAATACTACAAATTTAATATAGAGTTTGTATACTTTTAACGTAACTATTAACTAAATTTTATTAAAATTTATTAGATGCCACTCCGACAGTTCCCTTGTCAGTGTAGGTACAAGAGCTACGGATGCCCAAAATATTTATCACAGCGGGAGCGGACGGATCACGAAAAATTTTGTCCCTGTAAGCCTCGCCCCTGCCCAGTGCTAGACCCAGGGTGCCGTTGGGAGGGTCTCCATCGAGACCTCCTCGCGCACCTGGCTGGGGGTCATCCCGACCTAGGAGGAGGGTGCTATCCCACCCTCAGGATGTATCTGATCGGGTGGCACTTGACCAGGAGGTGCACCTGGGTCGCCAGAATGGCGTGGGGGCAGAGCCAATTCCTAGCACAGGTGATCAAGGAGGGAAAAAGGGAGGGGCAACACCATATCTTGGTATACCTCCTTCTCCGGCACCTGGGCTCACGGGAAGATACCCGACGTTACAGGGTACAAATCTCTTTGGGAGAGGAGATCCGCCGGCCAGTGTTCAACGATGTTCCTCGATGGGTGGGATTCAAGTTGGCCGCCACTTTAAAACATTTTGAATGCATGACATCCCCCTATGGAGCGGTTGTGGGGATGCTTAAATCAGGTGCACTTGCGGTCACCATGTCCGTGCGACCAATAGGAAATCGTCACGCACAAGAGTTCGGGCCTCCGGTAGAGGCCGGCCAAATTGCCGAGCCGGAGGCTCCGCGAAGGGAGAGGCCGCCCCACCTTCGTGGGGAGACGGCGAATGACACAGCCCGAGCCAACCTGGACGAGGGGGACCTGTGGACCTTAGATGAGGAGCCTCGAGGAAATCCCCCGGAGGGATTTGGTGTCGGAGAGGGGGCCCTGATGGGGATAAACCTCTCCGCTGTTATTGAGCGGGCCGAGATGAGCCAGACGATGGGAGTCCCGGCGGATGTGCTTCTCCCGGTGGGGGAGCCGTTTCCCGCCGAAATTCGGGACCGTCTTCGGCCTCGTCGTGGTGACGGAGGTCATCGCCCTGTAACCACGGGGCCGGAGGGAGCCTATCTTTTGGGTATTGGAAGGGATAGAGGGCAGCCGTACCCCACCGGAGCTAGCGAGGGAGAGGGCCAAATCGGCAATACTTCGGGAGAGGACCACAGCCTTCAGGCCCCGAATCACCCCCGGGTGGAATATTACCCGGGGTAGAGAGAGAAAAGGGGTTGCACGCGCTCGCGGAATCGAGAATTTTTTTGTATGATGTTCTTATTTTTGTTTTGTACCTTTTTAATTGTGTTGCGATAATTACTTGTTTCGTCTTTCTCTTTACTGTCTAATAATATCTAATAGAATAAAAAAGAATGATATTTGATCACTTTGGAATCTTGTTTTCGTTGCAAATAGGTTCGAGTCCCTTCCCACCAGGGGTAAACTAAAAGGGGATCGGCCCTAAATCCATTTCGCGTAACGCGGAGAACCACTGACCGCGGGGAGAGGCGCTCGGTCTCCCGAGGAGAGGTCAGCGACCGCTTCCCTTACTCATCGGTGGGAGACACTCCTCCCGACCATCGCGGCGGGAGTGAATTCGGTGCCAAACGGTCTGCGGAATAAATGAATCGGTAGACCTACCTCACGGCCGTCGGCGAGTCAAACGGAAGTAACGAGGATCCTTTTCGGAAAAAAAAAGGGAGAAAAACGCGAACATTAACGACCTTAAAATTTTATTTTTACAGATAACAAAAATTGGGAAAAATAAAACGGGGAAATTACATAATATTAAATGCGAAGCTCAATCCAATGATCGACCATACGAGTAAATATTGTCTCAGGTAAAAGACGCATTGAGGTTCACGACCCAATGCAAGGTTTGCAGCTACCTCAAAAGTACAAATTGTCGGTATTATCAAGTATACGCTAGTCATTTTATTAAAATTATCTGTCGGTAATATCTATGTGTGAACAATTCTTTCCATGTAGTTTGTCGATGTCATGTTGTATACGCGTTGATTATTTCGCCCTCATTGTCAGGGATGTTCATGTAACCATTATTTGTTCGTGCTCGATTTATCGGTGTTATATATATGTAAATGTATTACGCTTTTCGTTTTAATTGTCGGTATCATTTATGTATGCGGCTACCAATTCGCTTATAATATTCGATGTTAGTTAACTAAGCGCGTCATTCTTTTTATATAAGATATTCCTTTTTGTTTGTTGTTTATGAAATCATCAAGTTATAAATATGTACGGAATGTCATGTGTATATTCCCTAATGTAATTTCGAGTTGTCAGCGCGTTCGGCTTAATATTATCATGTCCTCCTTAAGTGTTCTTGGTTGGTCCGAGTGGTAATGCGAAACCACTAATTGACGTGTTACCTATTAAGTGGGGTCGAGCCCCGGGAATTAGCGCTTGAGCCCTGATCGTTTAACGGACGGACTGGCGGTATTACAGCCGCCAGGTAAAATGACGCTCCGAAATTAAGCGTCATTTTTACAAAAGGGGGGAGCCCTGTGAGGCCGGGACCACACACCCCCCCTCGGACGGAAACCGGCTGTCGAGCTAAAGTCAATATATCGGTGACTTATTACGTAAATAGGACCGGTGTGACCAAGGAACGGGGTGCGAGACGATTTAATTGTCGCATTCCAGCCCTAATTGACAGATTCACGGTCGTCAATCGTGAGAACGATCGAGGGATCGACCGTCGGGGAAACTTTGGACGGTCACCTTACATCGAGTTCAAAGCAGGTCCTACTGACACTCCTGTGGAGGGGGCGGTGGCTGAGACGGCTTCCTCCTCTCCGGGACCGAAAAATAGACATTAGGTGACAATTTACGAGACCGTCATCCGGGAGAGGGCTTGACCCGACTCCGGAGG